CATGTCAGATTTTCTTTTCTAAGTCTGAATACTATTCTACTGCATGTATGCACCATATTTTGCTTATCCATATATAGATGGATACTTGCCAAAGACACATGCTTTCATTGAATTATTTTCAGCTTCAGAGTGCTGAAGAGCCAGTCTATCCCAGGAAACTCCATTTCATATGTATTTTTCAATGACTAATATTTGTTTAAAACTTGCAATTTTAACTGATATATAATTTGTAGGTTTCTTTTGTCATCTAACATTTTGCTACTGTGTGATTTTCATGAACTGTTTAGTGTCCCATTGCAGCCTATCAGCCAGAATGGGCTGGGTTAAGCTGTAGTTAACAAACAACCCTAAAATCTCAGTGACATCAAACAGTTTTTAATTTCTTGCTCCCTCCATGTGTCACTTGCAGATCAGTTAGGGTTTAGCTCTGTTGTCACAATGTTTTCACTCCAGGACCCAGGTAGAAGAAAAACTGACCATGAGGAAAAAAAATTATATATTGGTTCTTAAAGTTTCTGCCTAGATGTCACAATGTACATCCTTTCACATTTCCTTAGCTAAAGTGAGTCACATGGCCTCACTTAACCTAAGGTGGGAAAGAAACGAAATCTTACTATGTGTCCAGGAGGAGAATTGGAAATATTTGGTGAACAGCACTGATGGTTACCATATGTGAGTGTAATATAATAATTCCCTATTTTAGGGCATCTAAGTCTTTTCCAATTCTTCTCTTAAGCTGAGCAAGTTTGTGGATACATGTTTCTTTAAGATGATCAAAGAAATATACAAAATTTCAGGTGGAATGTTAGTGAAACCAGCCATTTATGTTGAGGTGGTGCAAATCTCAAACAAATTCTAAGTCCCTAGCAATGATGTGATTTTGAGTCTTGGCATTTAGCAATGCTCCAAATGTCAATAGTCCAAAGTAAAATAGGCAGAAAAAAAAATGCCAGAGTACTTAAATTTGCTTCTTAGATTGCCTAAAATCTGTTTATCTACTGTCTGGTTTTTTATTGTTAATACTGAATCTTCTGTATATTTCTATAGGAAAATTCTCAGTATTATCAGGTCCAGCTAAAACTTTACCAGTCTGCAAGTTATTCACCATCTGTTGCCTCCACTACTGAATCTACTGTGCAAGGTTTTGCATGCCAAACTGAGCACATGTGGCTTCACATTCTCCTGCCTCAGCCTCCCGAGTAGCTGAAATTACAGGCACCCGTCACCATGCTCGGCTAATTTTTATATTTAATTTTTAGTAGAGATGGGGTTTTACCACTTTGGACAGGCTGGTCTCGAACTCCTGACCTCAGGTGATCCTCTGGCCTTGGCCTCCTAAAGTGCTGGGATCAGAGGCGTGAGCCTCTAATGGTTTCAGGTGCTGTTTTCCAATCTTTTCCAGATGATCCCACGTGAAAACTTGCTCAGACACCCAGGTACATATTACCTCTAGCTGTGGACAAGTCCATCTACAAATAATCATACCCTCCACACCCACTGACAGTAAACTCATGTAACAGCTGATGGGCTAATAGGCATCATTAACTTACAGGACTGGCCACTGCCCAAGGTATATCAATATACCACGGAGGTAATAACACAAACCATCTTGACAAATCAAATCCAAGCATTCCTGTTATTCAGGGCCAGTTGGGCAACTGGATCTGTGTAACTGCTGGCCAGACAGACTCAGTTGGTAGCTGCTATTCTGCCTGAGTTATCTCACATCCCAACTGCAAGACAAAGGGCAAGACGGCACTGCTTTCCAGGTTATGTGAAACATGCAGACTGTGTTCGAACTACTGTTGTCCTCACTGAAACATCCATCCAACCGAGCTATGTGTATGTTACCAACATACCTTCAATTGTTTTTGTTACATATTTTATTATTTAAGACCACTTTACCTTAATCATCTTCCATGGGTACTTATGTGTGTGAAGTGGGGAAAGGAGATGAAAAAGATCATTTTGAAACGTGTTTGAGAAATACTGGATAAAACAAAGATAATTAAGACTCTTGACTGCAAGATTTCTCAGAGCCTTTGATATACTAAGGTGACAGCAAATTTTCAAAAGGCACCTAGTATTCATCAGTATAAATGACTACAGAACATTTTCTTAAAGAGAAAAAATATCATTAATGTATGAACAAATGGTTCGCCTCTTTCTTGACCTGTATCCTCAATGAAAACGTCTAACCTTGTTCATTCATCACCTCTCCCTCAATTTGATATTTATCTCATGGTCCTCACTATGCATCCCCAACTAATCAGAGGTGGAAGATTCAGAGTATCTGGAATGAGGGATTGTCATCAGACAGGGTCAGGGCTTTCTTGAAAGTAAGTTAAAATGATGAAAAGAAAGGGGAAGGGGAAGAAAACAGAAGATCCCACAAGTGTAGAGGGTGTCCAAGATAATTTGGTGCAGAGCTGAGTGCAAAAAATGGGGGAAGAGAGGTGTTGAGAAAGCTTTGAGATGTGAGACAATTATATAAGGGGAAGAGTGAGGAAAAGAAAAATTTAAGAAATGAAGTTAGGAATTATGGATTGTATCTCCTTTAATATTCTTTGAGAAAGAGCGTGATCACACTTGGCTACTGAACTGTTTCTTTGAATGCTAACCCTGTTGAGACTGGCCACCCGGGGCCCTGGGATTTATTCAAGTTACAACAGAACATCACCAGTATTCTACAAAGTATCTTCAGCAAAATGCTGAATAACATTGTCAACTTACACAATCTAGACTAGAGCTAGGGAATGAAGCAACATAATGATTGCTTTTGGCCCAGGGGCCTTTTAAGATTTATAAAACAAAGCTTAGAAGCAATGGCATTTTGTTTTTAAGTTTTAAGGACTGAAATAAAACTAAGAATGAATATTTCAGTAAAAAACAAGGTTACAATTTTAGATATTGATTTCATAAAAGAAAACATCAAGGCTGGGTGCCGTGGCTCACACCTGTAATCCCAGTGGGAGGCTGAGGCGGCAGATCACTTGAAGCCAGGAGTTTGAGACCAGCCTGGCTGACATGACAAAAGCTTGTCTCTGCTAAAATACAAAAGTTAGCCAGGTGTGGTGGTGGGTGCCTGTAGTCCCAGCTACTCCAGAGTCTGAGGCATGAGAATTGCTTGAGCCCAGGAGGTGGAGGCTGCAGTGAGCCAAGATGGTGCCACTGCACTTCAGCCTGGGAGGCAGAGTAAGACTCTGTCTAAAAAAGAAAAGAAAAGAAAAAAGAAAACATCAGAGCACTGCTTTTTCACACAATTTAAATTATTAAAATTTGTCAGTTCAAATAAAACTTTTAATAAGCCCACTTTGAATTTACATTAATTCTAAGCCATTTGTTTAGCTAAATATGGATATTACTTGTATAGCATACTGCTTCATTAGATTGTAGGATTAAATAAATTAATACATGTAAAACTGTTAGAACAGGGTCTGCCATTTAGTTAGAACTCCATACATTGAGTTATCAGTTTTAATACCAAATTTCATCACTTTAAAACATATTTTTTTGGCCTTTTTGCAAAGTCTCTGAAGCTGGGATGGCATCTTAGTCTGTTTAATCTACTGTAACAAAATACAATAGGGTGGCTTATAAACAAAAGCAATTTATATCTCACAGTTTCGGAGGCTGGGAGCCCAGATCGAGGCACTGGCAGATTCAGAGTGAGGGCCCGCCTCGTCACAGACAGCAGCCACACATGGCAGAAGAAGCCGAAAGAAAGGGGACGTGCAATCTCTTTTATAAGGACACTAATCTCAGGGGGATGCTGCCCTCCTGACCTAATCACCTCCCAAAGGCTCTACCTCCTAATACTATCGCATTGGGCATAAGAATCTAACATATAATTTTGGGATAAACAAAAATTTAGATCAGAGCAGATGGTTTGCCATAAGTTCATTGGTAGTATGTTTTTTCCTCTTAGTGGTACATTAAATAGTTGTGTTTCCAACAATTGATATGGTCTTTGATTCAATAAAATACAATATTATTAATCCTTTTCTCTCATTAGTTTTGGATATTTTACTATATTTTTGTTTTCCACAAATGATTATCTATCTTTTTATAGATTGATAGTCAAATACATACACCTTATATATTATTTCAAAAAATCAAAGTACCACCCCCTTCTACTCCCATAAGATCTGTCAGGGTGAAAGATATTGTGGATAGTCAGGATTTCAGGTAATAATTGCCCATTTACTATACCTTGGGGAATGTTTGATAAAAGAGTTGAAATAAACAACAAATTAATCAGAAGAGAGACTGCAAGGCAGGGATATATAAGGAAGACAAGATATGATATTGAGTAATAACCCTTATAAAATATGTAGAAGTTTTCTTAATCAATATTCACGTAATCAGCTTACTGGATTTACCAATAGTCTTCATTCCCTTGAACGTCTGTAGTGGAAACTTTGAGTACATGAATCTGTAGCAGTTAGGGTTCTTTGGTTGCAAGTAATGGAACCCAACTCTTTCTTGCTGACTTAAGCTAAAAGGGAGATTTTTGGAAGGTTACAGGACAGCAAAAACAGTAGACTCAGAGACCAAAGTCAGAAAGGACTGGAGCACCGGGCTTTGCACCAGGCTAACCTTATGGATCTTTATGGTGTCAGGAACACCCAGCTTTCTTTTCTGGGAGCTACTCCTGGTCAAAACGGGTCTACTCTTTTTCAGGCTGTCTTTCTGGTAGAGGATGAAAGTGCAGGGAAGGAGCCCACGGATCCTCAGTGCCTGCTCCTTGACGGAGGGAGAGCAGCGCACCTTGATCAGAGTCCTACCAGACCGTCTCCAAGGGAAGAGGCAAATCCCCAGAGTGGACTAGGCACTATTAGTAAGGGACTGTGGAATGGACACTGGCCTGCCAAAACCCAACAAATAACCACTACCAATCTGAACAACAACAACTAACATTTGGTTATCCTAGCATGCTAAATTCCACAACCAGTATGGAAGTCCACTGTAAAATGGAAGGGGCCATAAACATCGCTTACAGTACTTGTACTCCAGAAGACATCCTCCTGGAATAGTACTATAAATAAGGAGGAACTTGAGGGCAGTGTGGGTGGGGCAAATCTCATCCAGCTCAGCCTGCATCCCACAGAGAGCACCACACAGGCAAATGCACAGGCCACAAAGAAAGGGACTCCCCAAGGGCACCCCCAGCTTTTGCCTTTATCCTTGATTTGCCTACTCAGCTATTAGAGCTGCATGATTCTCCAGGTCAATCTCATTAGCTCATGTTCAAAATACCCGAATTTGTTTCCATGTACAAGATTAATTATAGCTGGTAGCTTGACTTACACATTAGATGACTCACCATGTCCATGCAAACAACCTTAGCTTTTCCCACGGCTGCATGAGTCAACTTGCTTCTGTTAACTTGGGCTAATGATGGTTTGCCTTGTTTCCATCACCTGGCTTTTTTGGTGTTTTGTTCTGCCCCCAAGTGCCGCTTTCTCCTTCCTGACTCACCTTTATCTCCCTGCCTTTGCATTTGCTTTCCTACTGATTCCACAAACAGTGCCCACTCAGGGGCACATGTTCCCGCCACGGAGAAAAACAAACCAAAGCAGAGCTGCTGAGGTTGTCACCTGCTTTCTTGCTAGGAGCATGATGTGAATTTTTGCAAAGGCAAAATTTGCATTCCTTAGACTTAGCAGGAGCAGAGAGGGAGCTAAGGCTTCATGTGGATCTAATCTGCAAACACCCCGGGATGGAGTCTTTCTGGTTTCCATCTGCCACCTTTTAAATGGTGTGTTTTATTATTACTGCACTTACCAAGAGTTATCTTTTCCACTCTGGTTTAAATACAATATTAAAGACATTTAGAGAAACACCAGTAATTTAAAGGAAAGTTGCTAGGCCAATATTTTTGTATGAACTTGGGTATGGAAGACTGAGGGAAACTAGAAATGGATGTTAAATACGGCATTTCAACATAGGGTTAGATGGTATTACTTTGATTTATGTTTTTGCTTATTCATGTGTGAGTGCATATTACATGCAGAGTTCTGTTTTAATGACTGATCCTGCACAGAGGCAGGTCTGAGAGTGCCAGGAAACACTGAAGTCTGAACAATTTGCCTTGTCCCAACTTGCACTCTGCAACCCCACTTGCTTCCCATCCTTCTGGCTCCTGAGCTCAGGCTCTTCCATTTGCTGACCTTGCCTTGCTCCCTGGATCTCACACCTGGTACCAGTTTTCTGCTCACAGCCTTTTACTGCCTTTCTTGATGAGAGCTTAGACTTTCCTTCTGGTCTTCTTTTCTTCTGCCACTGGCTCAGCCCTCAGCACCTTCATCATCTCCTCTTTGACCAAGGACGCCTATAAACAACTCTGTGAGCAGAACCTAGACATCGAAGGCAAAAAGAAAACCAGAATGAAGAACGTATGGTCTATTTGAAGAAATAGGCCTGCATATACTAACAAACAAGGTTTGAAACACACAAAAAACATTCAGAAATAGAGCACTGTCAAAAGCCTAACTTTTGGAAATAACTTTGTAGGCTAAGGGTAATAAATAAGATCTATCTTCCATGCCAATTCTAATCGATTGGAGTGCCAGCTGTGGGAAAGGATTCTAAAGCTTCATCTGCATTGAGCTGGAAAGAGTATCTTGATCAATTAGTGACCTAGGCCTTGAGCCAGGGAACATACATTTGCTTATTGCTACCCCTGCCATGACAAATGTCCCACCATTTAGAAATTTTTAAGTCGGAGAGTTTTTAAAAATGAAATCACTATTTAAAGAAGATTAATTTGGTTCTGCACAGAATGATTGCGAGGAGGACAGGATGTTTCCAGAGACAGAAGTTAAAAGGCTCTCATTGTGTTGTTCAATGACAAAGTGGCTAAACACAGCTCCCAAAAAAGGGGGAGACAGATGACATAAACTGGAGGAGCACTGTTCTCTGCGGAGTGAGGCTGAACCAGTGTCAGTGGGAATTAGCTGGACCTGGGAAGGAAGTCACAGTGGCTGAAGCAGTGATTTCTTATCCCTCCTGACGGGGCCAACAAGGAAGAATGCTGTTTCCCTGTCCCCAGTCCAATTCCAAATAGGCATCAGTATTGACAGCAGCAGAAAACTATGTCCCATGCCACTTGTCAATGGGGAGGGCTCTCCTCTATCCTTTCCTGCCAAACACCCAGCAGGTGGAAGATGACCAGTGTGGACTCTGGGTTGGGGCTGGCAAAACCAAAGACTGATGAGTGTCTGTATTTGGATGTCAATCATTGTGGATATAGGAAGAAAGGCATGGATAAAAAACATTTTAAGAAGTAAAATAGAATTGATTAAAAAAATAAATAGGATTTTGTGAGTAACTAAAAAAAATTAGGAAAAGTGGAAGTGACTACAGTTTCAGATACAGGAAAATGGAGAATATAAGAGATTTACAGAGGAAGTTGGATTGAAGTGTGGCAGAGACTGCTAAGTTTCTCCAATATCTGTGTTCTCTTTTCCCATAGAACCAGAACTGCAGACTTTTTGCTGGGCATATTACATCTCAGAATAAAGATTGCATTTCCAAGCTTCCTTTTGGCTCAGTGCCTGTGTGTTGTAAGTTCTTGCCTACAGGCTATAAATAGAAGCAACATATGCAAGTTTAGGGTTGCGCCTTCCTCCTCCCTTTCCCCCCTTCCCACTGCCAAGGCGGCTTATGAGATGATGCTGATGAGCTGTTTTGAACCATATGGGCAAGAGCAACTCTCTAGAGATGGAGTGGCAAGATCAAAGGATCCTGGTCCTCGATGCTGCCATCGGAGCCCAGGACTGCTTACACGTGGGCTGTTACAGAGGTGTGGGCATCAGAGACATCCTCTATCTGTACCAATTCTCCATCATCACAAGTTTTTATTACATTTTCACCTATATCCTAATTTCTGCCGATGGTGGCTTTTATAAGAAAGGTATTAAAAATTACATGCCAGGACCAGGTATGGTGGCACCCATTGTGTTTCTAGCCACTCAGGAGGCTGAGGCAGGAGGATCTCTTGAGCCCAGAAGTTAGAGGCTGCAATAAGCTATGATTATACCACTGCACTCCAGCCTGGGTGACAGAGCAAGATTCCACCTTTAAAATAAATAAATAAAAATGACACGCCAGGATAATCGGGCATTTTGCAATGAGAAGATTGAACTGCTCTATGTAATTTTCTTGGTAATCAGGAAAATGGAGGAGATGCTGGAAAACTAGAGACAACCAAAAAAGTAGGGAACAAAGTTTTTTTGTTTTTTTTTTTTTTTTTGAGAAAACAGGTAGGTCCTGACAGTGAGAGACTGGTTAGCATGGAGGTGACCTGAGCCAGGTTCTAGACCAGGAAGATCCATGAGCATTTGGAATAAGAGATGTGGACCAGCAGGAGGCAACATAAGCTCATAAAGACCAAAGACAATTTTTTGTTTTGATGGTGACTACAAGACAGGTAAATCAAGATATGCTTGTGCACATAACATATCTGAATGTCTGCAAGGCATTTAATTAGGTCTTTCTGAATTTGTTTCTGGAGAGAGGGAAGGAGTCTCGTAGTAGATGATAGCCTTGTTTGACGGATGTGTGTAGCTGAGAAGATCTGCATCCAAGTGGCAGGAAAGGTCTGGTAAGACGAAGTGCCAGACAGGCCCAGCAGTCAGACTCCGTTAATACAAGTCTGGAGTGCATTGCAAGGAGAGAATTGGACTGACCTACCCACCCAGCTGGAATCTATGTCCCATTCATGATGCCTTGAAAAGAGACATTGGCAGATTGCTACTCATCCAAAGGAGGGCAATCAGGGTAAATTGGAAATTAAGGAACTGATAAAGAATGGAAAGTGTTTAGACTGAAGACCTGAAGCCTTGGGAAGAGGGGCTGGAGGATGGCAACCGTCTTCAAATATCTTCAGAATTATTCCGTTAGTATGTTCTATGTGGTTCCATTGGCTGCATGTTTTCCCCAAGGCTATCGCATGAGTCAGTAGCAGGCTGGGATTGGAACTTGGGTTTCGGAGATGCAGAGGGAAGTGGAGCCAGAGCGCTGGTGGTCTGTTCTGGAGCCTGCCTCTACAAGGGACCTGCTGTTAGGTGCAATAGCAAGCCAATTTTAGTCACAGTTTTCTCATAGCCAACAGCATCCTGGCTGATATTTGAGTCAGGCCAGAGGCAGGGAGACTGGTGAGGCACCACTGTGGTAATTCAAGCAAATATGATGGTAAATTGGCCTAAGGCAGTGGCCCTGGGACTGAAGAGAAGTGAGCAGATCCAGGATAAAGGGAAAGGCTACAGAAAACATGCTTGATAAGGACATGGGATGAGGAGACAGGGTGGAGTTTAGGAATCCCCTCAATCACATTTTCCTCTTGACTTATGTGATGAATTCAGATGTATTCTTGTAATACAGAGTTTCTTTTCAATGTCAATGTAGACTCAAGAAGCTCTTCTGCTCCCTCCGAGAAGTCTGCAACTGAAAATGGAAAACCCAGGGACGAACTCCCCAGGGGAGAGTGGTTAAAAAGGAAGGTGCCAGCAGCAGGTTCTCCCTTCGCTTCCATCCAGTTCCTTCTCTTTTCTGTATTTATGAGCAGTCATAGCAGTTTAATTCTGAATTTATCTTATTAGTCCATTCTAGGCTGAGAAGACATCCTTCCACCTACTGACCTCTTTGGAGATTACTGCATGAATCCAGGCCTAAAGAAAGCACCATATCCCAAGGCCTGAAAGCTAATGGTCTCTTCCCACCGGCCCTGGTTTGAAAAGAAACCAAGGTTAGTTCCTGTGTAGGTCCAGGCAGAACTCCAGGGCTGGACTTTCTTTCATTGTCTTTGCTGTTTCTTTCACCCAACATTATTTTTAATGAAGGCTGTGTCTTTCATTTGCCAGGTTGGGGCTCTTTTTTTTATCATTGGTGCCATAGGGAAGACTTAAGGGAAGGCTTGCTGCCACCACATAAATGCACTATTGTTCTGTGGCTGGAGACATCCCACTTGCCTTTCCAGATCCACTCTCCAGCTTTCTCTCCCTGTGTAGAATACATGAGGCTGAAGCATGAGGTAGCGATAGGCTCATGTTCCCTGCAGCTTCCGCTGGGCCGGTTGCAAGCAAGAGACCAGTGGGAGAGAGGACAGGGAAGTAAGGGTCTTGATTCCTTTAGCATCCCCAGTTGGGAACTCTGCAGATGGGCTGCATTCCTTGTACAAAGATTCTAGCTCCTTTAAGGCAAGCTTCTACCCACAGCCCTCTTAATCTTGGGATTTCAGTAACTGGTCTCTCCCCCTGCTCCTTCAGGCTTAGGGGTGCAGAACAGAACCTCACTCTCCATGAACAATGACACTCTCCCTTGTGGTTCCTCCATACCCTGCCCACACCTTTGAAAACAATTCCTTTATTTAACTGTACTCAAAGTATCCCAATTTGAGTATACCATCTCTTTCCTGCCAGGATCCTGGCAACTGCCACCCAGTCCAAGGGCTTTGGAAGTCACCCTAACTTTTTCCATTGACCTTTCACATCTCATCCAATGTTTTTCATTGTGATTGCTCTGGGAATTAGAAAGGACAAGACTAAATACATAAGGAGCATGATGAAAATCTGACCCCGAGAAGGA